TAATATTTTACAGGACAGTTAGATCCTACAAACTCCATCTTGCTGTTTTAAAATTTTAAGAGCTTTCTCCAAACTGTATTTCTCCATTGTTAAACCCTTAATTAAATTGATTCATACAGCTAATATCCTAATTTCATGCCAGAACTTCAATACAAAGGGTTTGCTGCTACTTGGAATATGTATTTCCCACTTGAAATAGGAACCACGTAAACCATTAGTCTGTTAAAAGCGTAGGAGTGTGGAGGCCTAAATCAGTGTGGGCTGTAAATTATTTTCTGTGATAACCTTAGCTATGGGGATATATGCAGAAATAGTAACAATAGTTGCCATGTCAGATCAATCTAACTTCAAATACAGAACAAAGACTCCAAAGAGTTCTAGGTGTAGATTGTACAAATGGATTCTCATCGATTCCTGACCTCAAATAGTTTCTGCATGAGCTTAAAGGTTTATTTATTCAGCTACTGCACCTCAAGAATCCATCAAACATACATTGCTCTTGTGTTACCTGCCTGCACTTAACACTTGGCAGGAAATCCTAGCTAGCAAAACAAGAGGACCTTCTGTTTTAAAAATAATGTGTGATAAAAGTAAAACAAACCAAAAATGTCAGTGCCACAAAGGTGGCTAAGCAGCCCCTGCCTTCAGCTGTTAGAGGTTTGCCCTCTAGAAAGAAGCCAATTTTCACTAAGCAGCAAATGAGAACACGGGGGAACCAAGATTATTACATCTAACTAAAGGTACAGACTAAATTTAGATGGGTGGAATTTATTGGATTATTTTGTTTAGGGAATAGAAGTTAAACACCCCTAACAAAGCCATAAAATTCTTAATGAAGATGAGCTTAGTTAAGGCCTCAGTTCTACATCTCATCCCAAAGAAGAACAGTTCTAAGATCATTATTACATTCATACGTTTTTCCCTTTTTCTCCCTTCTGCCTTTTAAAACAAAATCCAGACCAACAGTCCAAGAAAACCTGACTGTAAGCTGAATAATACAAAGCACATCCCTATGAGTGGGGATATGAGCTATGTGCTTGCATGTTGTTTTTGAAAAGACACATTTGGAAATTCATGTTGTTCATTTACAAGACATAAAAGCTACTCATGATGCCAGCACCAAGTAAACAGAAGAGGACAATTTCATTGATATATATCGTACATATCAATATGTCTGTATTTCTCAAACACTGTATATCTTCTTCTCTGCCTAGTAGCAAGCCTACCATAACAAGTGATATCTAAATACATTTTGGAGGAAAGATAAAAGCTCCATTATGTGACAAGGAATATTACGAGTAACAGAGAGATTATACTAATCATGAGCAAAAAGAAGATGTTTGATCCTGCTTATGCTAGAAGTTTTTTAAAATTTAAAAAAATCTTTTAAATGAGTTTTATCCTCAGGAAAATGATTAAAACCAGAAAAGCCTTGAGATGTCAGCTGGTGACATGTTTTTCTTCTTTATCTTTCCTTTTTGTTGTTGTTGCTGTGAAAAAAAATCTGAGAGAATCCAGCAAAGTGCATCATTAACTTCTTATTAATTTTATAATACAAAGGCAATTCAGTTAAAATAGTGGTGCTGCAACTTTAAATTACAGAACTAGCTTGGTATTTAATGAGAGATTTAGCACAGCGGGGTTTCTGTTAAATTAAGTTGTGCCTTCACATCACAGTGGGAAAACAGGTGTATATTGGTTTAGAATTATGGAAATGTTGACTAATTCCAAGGCTTGTAATCAAACAGCAAGGCACCCTGCAATATTTTCTTCCAAGATTCTGCATTAATCATTTATGTCTGGTCCTGTTTTCTTCATGTCCACTAAAAGGGTGCAGCTCAAAAGAGCAGATAAAGAGCCTGTGTGTTCATGTCTCTGTTGAGGATGAGGTCCATGCAAAAAGTAGGAATAGAAGCAGCACCATTGCCTTGGCTCGAATAGCTACCTAAATTGAACTGAGAGGTAGGATAAATTTCACACTAAACCCCTACTACTTTGGTTTTGTGAGTGCTGATCCAAAACCTGCTTATAGAACCACATGGAGCAGGTCCACATGTAAGAAACAATGAACCTCTCTCATTTAATGAATCCCAAGGCACACCCCTCCATGCTTCTGCAGCAGCAGGGGTCATACCTGTGTGCAGGTAAATCGCAGGCAAGGTCCAACCACCACAGCATCCATGCAGCCCCCTGCTCCCAATTCTGCCATCATCCCTACCTTACACTAATAAATCACCTGCCTTTGCCTCAGATTTTCTTCCTGGGCTATTTAAGGATGCCTCTCATCTGATGCATGGTGCTACTACCCTAAAAGTGGAAAGCACAGATTCTTTTGTTTGCAGGAGACACCTTATTACTGGACCTCCTACATACAATACCTCATTTCCTGGAAGCAAGCTGACACTTGATGCCCAAATGAACCTGATCCAAATTCATCCCTTGTTGTAACTCTGCCAGAAGATTGATTCCATTTGCTCTGAAGGAGACTGCTTTGACACATGGACCTACACACTACTGATTCCTGCTTGTTCAGTGAAAGCTGCTTAGCTGGCCAGAGCTAACAACATAGAAATTGCCAAAATTCATATAAGGAGAATCCTGCTAATTTGAAGTGTTTTCAGCATGTGTGCCACAACTTTAAAGTGTGCTTAAATGAAGATATTTTTGGCATACACAGATGCAGCATAACAGTATCACCATATATGCTGAGTGTCTGCACACAGCACGTGCAAAATACAGAATCACATATATAATATATGCTGAATTGTTCTCTAAGAGAAGTAAAGGATCTGTATTTGAGTCACTTCTCTTTATTGGAGATGCCCCTTTAAGAAATAGGAATAACAACTTAACTCAGAGTAAAATCTTAACATCTCTGGCAGTATCAGAAATATTTTTAAAGCCCAGGTCAAGTAATGGGAAAGTAATTCTGACATTTCCTTAAAAGATAAGTTTGTAGCCTCACAGTCAAGACTGAAAAACACAGCTTGAAAAGGTGAATTTTAAACAACAAAGAGCTAGGGTTGGCATTAGATAAAATATTACGGGTTTTGAGTTTTATTTTAAAAAAAAGATCCAAAGGTACACTAGTCTCTCTAACTGCTGGATGCTTGTTAGCTGTACAAAAATGGAGGAGAAAATAATGCCTTGCTCAAGTCAGGTGCAATGTAGAGCTGAGCCAGCTTTGCCACCTGTACATGGAGAGGTCAGGGAAGGAGTCTGCTCCTCTGAGTCACCTGCTGGGATAACTAAGATCTCTCAAAACACACCAGACAGCTCGTGGGGCTCAGGGAAGAACAGAGCAGCAAATGAAAGGACATTCACTGCTTCTAAGGAGACTGATGTATAGATCCAGTGGTGGAGCTTCAGGGTAGGGTCCCACACCCTACCTGGACCCAGGGATGCTGGCTGGGCAGGGTGCTGCTCCAGTGGCTTGGAACCACCTTTCCTGGAGTGTCCATACAATCCAGACAGCCAGCACAGCTGTTTGACTCAAAGCATTGTGGAGAGCAATTGCACAACTGCAATGTTAACTGAATTGGGTTAGTCATCCAAGGGTTTGGGATTTTCTGGCAGTGGGGAAGAAACCAACAACTGATGCTGCAGAGTTAGAGATCATCCCTCAGAGCCTTCCTTTCTCTCTGAGGATGGCACACCCATCCTCTTCATCCTCAAGCTAAGCTCATCACTGGGAAGTTTCTAAGGTCCAGATGTAAGGATCCACTTGATGGAATAAATCATTTGAATGTGTAGTGGCACAATTTTTATATCCTGTAGCTGGCCTATCTCTGAAAATTTCCTACCATCCTTTCCAGTATTTTCACTTGCAAATGACAGAGGATTCCCATTTTACCTTGATAAATTAGCAGAACTCGCATGTAATTATCTGACATATTTCTCTACATTGGTCATTGCCATGACAGATGAGGTGGCTTTCCTAACAGAAGTTACATAAAGTGAGGGGACCAGATGTGAATTTTTCAAACAGTGTCCAATTTCACATACAGCATGTAGGAACTAAAGGGGATATTGGCCATGTAACTGTCAATCCAGTCAACATTCTGTTTATTTATACAGTGTCTTATTTATTTATTTATTTTTGTGTCTGTAACCAATACATTCCAACCATGTACTCGAACACTTCCTCTGCATAAAGAGGGATTACACCTCCATCCTTTATATGTTTGCTTTCCCATCCCGAAAGTATTTGGCTATGTTCAGCAGAAGAAATGAAAACATCAGAATAAGATTTCAGAGTTAAGCCATGCAACTACCAATGACATACTTTTTCCTTCTATTTGAACTGCCATAGGATTAACACAAGCTACAGTTTATACAAGACAGCCACAACTGTTTTGATCACCAGGTGATGCCTCAGTGAGAACAGGTTGCTAAGGAGGGATGGTGGCAGGGAACAGGGTGACATTGTGAAAGCCACTATGAGGTACCATGGCACCATGGTCAGGTTGTTTGGAAACCATGAGGATAAAGGCTGCATTTAACAAAGTTAGCTGCATTTTGTCTTTTCCTCTTCTCTCCCTTTTCAAACTAGAAGCCCTAGTGGTGCACTGTTTTCCTGCCATATGTTTTTCCTCCTCCATCCCCCTTAAATAAAAAAAATGAATCTACCTTTCATTTCAGTAACTGCCT